ATATGCTTACAAGTAATGAAGAAATATCTAAAATTGAGAAAACATAACTTTAAAAACAAGTTTCTCTAGTACTTGACGGACAAACCATTGTTCGACAAACGCCTCGTCTTTCTCGATGAACTCATCCATGGCACTTTCCAAAACACGTGTGTCGAATGCCCGGGGGTCGCCCCGGGGTACGCAAATGCCCAGTCCCCGGGCCGCGATAAACTTGCGGATGCCCCACCCCCGGGAATGACAACTTGAGCAAATGCCCCGCGGTTGCCGGGGGGGGGGGATGGGCACTGCTGGAATTGACTGATGCATAACGGTCGGATGAATGCGAGCGCAGTATAAGATTTACTCTACGAGTGACGTTTAAAAATTCTCGCAAAGTTGCACGAGATTTTTGGCGAGTGCAATTTGAAAGAATTTTCAAATATCGCCAATATTGTAAATCCTTAAGTGCTTGATATTTCAAACGATTCTTCATATATTATATGTTTGAGAAAGTTACGAACGCACGCGAGTTAATCTGCCCTGCAGTACATATATTGTTAGCCTGCAATGCATATATGATTAGCCTGCTCTCAGCCAATCACAAGTCGCAATGAGGTCATTTTCCAGGTTACATAATAAGCGTTTCGACTGTCAATTACAGTCATCCGCATTTTTAGAAGACTAAATTTTCATAATACCCACTTAGGGTTATGGTTACGGTTAACATATGTTATATTGAAGATTAAGCGTAGTTCAATTTAGTCATACATCGCTTAGCGGGAATCCGCATATAGCTGTTCTTATCACGCGAATATAGTTGGTCGATTCAAATTCCTTTTACTCGAAATATAGTCAGACATTAACATTTCTGTTAAAGGGAAAGCTCAAATAAATGACCTATAATATAATCACTTCGAATTCGCAAAAGAAGGTCTGCCGGCAAAGTTCGAGAAGTAAACATCGAGAAACGAATAGCAACACTCACACAATATTCCAGTTTTAATATATATGACTCGTTCTCGAAACTGAGCGAAATAACAACCTTAGTAGACAATACAAACGTTTTTTTTTTTTGCGTCAATCACATTCGAAGAAATAACAATTGTAATGATTATCAAGACAGTCGTGCTGATACTAAAATAAGCCTTTCTGCGAAATCTTGAAGTCTCAATCTCTTTAAACATTAACTTTTAATTATAACACCCGTTCATTTAATTAAAGTAATATATCTCAAGCGTTCGGTACATATCTTAGTCCATAGAGTAATTATGGGTGTCATTTCAAGGCTAGAAGTTTCCTCAATGAATGAGTTGCCAGTAATCGGATACCCGTGTTTGCGCGAAGAACTATGGGATCGTCAGGG